ACTGAAGTTGAGGTGAATAAGATCTTCACCGACATAAAACTTCCACTGAAGTTAGGGTGAATAAGATTTCACAGACATAAAACTTCCACTGAAGTTGAGGTGAATAAGATCTTCACCGACATAAAACTTCCACTGAAGTTAGGGTGAATAAGATTTTATTGTCATAAAACTTCCACTAAAGTTGAGGTGAATAAGATCTTCACCAACATAAAACTTCCACTGAAGTTAGGGTGAATAAGATCTTCACCGACATAAAACTTCCACTAAAGTTGAGGTGAATAAGATCTTCACCAACATAAAACTTCCACTGAAGTTAGGTGAATAAGATCTTCACAGACATAAAACTTCCACTGAAGTTGAGGTGAATAAAGATCTTCACAGACATAAAACTTTCACTGAAACCACGGCGAATAACATCTTTCCTCAGACAAAGCTTCTGGTGAGGAGATGGTACATAAGGTCTTATAAAACTTATTTCTTAACTGGTGTATTGAAATTTGATGATAAGAAGCCCACTTTTACAAAATAATGATGATGACAAAAGCTTGTCAAAACATTTTATAATTGTCATTTGTTATAAAGTTTCTTTCATTACCCATTCAAGCCATCTCCAAACTTTATTAACTACTATACTATTGCATCATTTTGTTTTAATATTTACATAACATTCATATAAATAGCAGCAATGTAAGAATAGTAAATACTCTGATACATCCTATCAATAACTAAAAAGTATAATTTCTGTTAGACCTAATGATAAAATATATTATACAAAGTTCAATCTAAAAACTGAAACTAAATGACTTACTTTACTGCTAGGCCTAATGATAACCTCTCCTTGTTCCATCTGGGCCAAGAGACTTTCAGCTTCCTTGTAGCTGATGTTATGGAAGGACGGGTGAACTATCACACGCTTAATGTATGCTGTAAAATATAATCGAGAGCATGGTAAATGGCAAAGAAAACCAAATAGTATACAATGATTAAGGTACAAACTAAAACATCTGCTCGTCATATCATGTCTACAACAACTAACAGCCAGTTTTAACAACAATTATGTTTAATATGTCTGTTTATCTAATCATGTCTACAACAACTAACAGTTAGTTTTATCAACAATTATGTTTAATATGTCTGTTAGTCTAATCATGTCTACAACAACTGACAGTTAGTTTTAACAACAATTATGTTTAATATGTCTGTTTATCTAATCATGTCTACACATATTAAACATAATTGTTGATAAAACTAACTGTTGGTTGTTTTGTTTATCTAATCATGTCTACAACAACTAACATAGTTAGTTTTATCAACAATTATGTTTAACACTCATGCTATGGGTAGGTTAAAATGCACAACCTTTTACAGTTACATTCAAAATTTAATTAAACTACTTTATTTTCAATGTATACAAATAAACTTGGCATCAAAACATAGTTAATAAATCAAATGTTACTATTATATAAATTTTAATTTCTTAATTTTCAGTACAGTGCATTGTCTATTTCATCTTCAGTTTGAAAGTTTCTCTCATGGTGTTTTAAGGCTCATATGTCATAGTTGGAAAGCCAGTTAACTCTTTGTGTGCAGGTAGGTGCATTGCACATACTATGTAACCAAGAGATTAGTCATATACTATAACTTTTGATAATGTAAACATATCTTCACAAAATTTCGCTGACTACCAGTAAACATTACAAGGCTTTTCTTAACAAAAAATCAGATTTTTTAATTAAAGATTTGCTCATGCATTTTTGCTTTCCAAATGTTGACTATTCAACATGCAAGGTGATTTTTATTTTAAGATTAAAAATACTTTTCTTCATCTGGAAACTATCAAATTTAATTTGTGTAATCTGTAAAACCTCCTAAGTAAATATCAAACTTTGTTTTAGAAAAACTTTATATTTTATTTTCTCTACTCTAACTCTACTATGACCAAAAATTGTACCAGGAAACTACAATTGTTTATTCTAAATAGTTTAAAGCTTGTAACAGTATACATTTATATATATTTATTGATTGTTTGTTATATTAGCTTTTGAACCATGTCTAACTAATCCCACCATACAGCATGCGTGCAGTTCATGTTACCATATCAAATAGCATAAAACTGACATACAAAGTATGTTATAAACGTGTAGTTAAGAGAAATAGACATAAGTAACCAAGTACTATCAAAATATGAAGTGGTGGGCAGAGTCACTGTGGTAGGTTCACTAAATATAATGATATCTCAGCAAATAGAAAAGGTAAGAGGTTCTTATTTTATATTCTAGCTTTTTAATATTGGTAATTTGGGATTCTATTTCATTAAAAACTATAGACTTAATTAAGAAATTAAATAATGTATAATAATAAAATTTTGAATGTAAGTCTACAAAATATGATGACATGCACTTTGAAATGTAATGACATGCCCCCTGTCTGTATGGAAAGGGTTAAATTATAATAATTACTGGACTTTGCTTAGTGCATGTGATTGTTTTGTATTCTTAGGTAAACCTAAGTAAGTACAAATTATTTAGTGTACTAGTACAATCAGTATAAAAAAAAAAAGTAGGCTTAAATTTCATAGGCAACTGACATTATTATAAGAGTAACTAAAATGTAAAATTTAGAAACTTATCAGGTTAGGTAATGTTAGGTTAGATAAGAGGTATGGTCACAATTAGTTACATCATTTAATATGCTAATTTGAGCTATGCATTCACCAAGTGATTTACAACTTGTATGTCAGGTATATTAGTTAGACATGGTTCCAAGGGCAATAACACAATAAAATTAACCCTTT